TAAACAAACAAAACCCAAATCAAAACAAAACAGCAAAACAAACACATAATAGTAAGAAAAAGAAAAAACAAAAAGAGGGTCAAAGCCCCAATCAGAGCAATTTGTAAAAATTATATAGTACTGCTATTTCCAGTCTCTATTCTAGAAATAGGTCTATACTATATGTAAATATAATTTAATGATAGAGATGTTGGTGTTTAATTTCTTCCCTAACAGTTCTATAGCCAGCCTTTTCACTCTGCTTAAACTTGCTCCTAATTCCAGAAAAAGGATAATTCTCCTATTCCCAAAATGGACGATTTCTGCAAATCTTTCATAGAAGGTACACTAGATTCCCACTTTTTATAAAAACTTCCATCAAAAAAACTAAGTGAGGAATATAGTAGTGGTGTTCAGTTAGCAGGTATCCTTGAATTTCTAGTGAGTGTATTAAAAACTTACTTATTGTTCTCCTATAAGGCCTACTATTTTAACTTTGTTAACAGAAACTGAGACTTCTACTAAAATTTGTTATACAAGGGCGCCTCCTACCAGTTATCTTGTATATGCATGCTTTTAGTTTGCTTGCTAAATATATAAAGGAGTCTAGTGTAAAAGAACCACTTTGACCTTTATAAAAACCGTTATTTGTATAGTAGCCTCTTCTACTTTCTTCAATAAGTTTTCCATTTTTGTTGGTGTGAAATTCAGTACAAGTAATTGTCGGGAAGAGTTGATAATATATATTTTATAATATTAAATATTTTTTTAAATTTTAATAATATTAATTTTGATTATATTAAATTATATAATCTTATTTAATAAATAAAATTTGTAAAAAAATAAATTATTTATAAAAATAATTATTATTCAAAATATATATATTTATTTATTTTTATTTTAATTTTTAATTTATTTATTTTTATTTTAATTTTTAAAATTTATATTTAAGATTAAATTTAAGTTAAATTTTTATTGTTACACAGGATTATAAGCCATACCAATCCTGTGACAAGCTTAGGAATGTGACAAATAAGCCTATTTGAGCCGGCTCATTTAGGAACACTACACGGGATTTTATCTTTATTTTTATTTTCGGAAATGTCACTTTTTACTCGTAACAATACAATATCTGATATAAAAACTTAAAGAAAATGAAACGTCATACAAGAGCATGGATGAATGAAATAATTTTTTTTTTTACTAGCGACAAATTAGAAATAGTTTAATTAGTAACATTTATGTTGCAATTTTTGTGAAATACGTACGTACAGGTTTACAACTTATACGTATGTTCAATTTGGTATTACCAAAACTGGCTAAATTTATTAGTCGCACCTTCCGAAGACAAATCAATTTAAATAATTTTATAATAAATCTTAAGAAATATTCTTTTGCAATAGAAAGGAACCAAACTGCTCTCGGAGGTTAATAATAAAATTTTGTAAGATTCGAATAATTTCAGCACTAAAATCGATCAGCATAAAAAAATTTTTACGTAGGAAACTTGCATATCACTCGAAATTATTAACCAATAAACACCAAATTTCCGATTGATTATCTCAAAATCATATTTTTTGGATTCTTTCTACTACAAAGACCCACACACACAATATGTTTTTTTTTTAACTGTATCATTATTTAGCTAATAATTATAACAATCTGATTTTAATTAACGTTTCATTGATGATTTTGGCAATTATGATAGGAGGATTAAGGTTTCGCTTTTAAAAAGTAAAAACCAAGTGTAGTCTAGTTCAAGTTACATATGAATGTTGATTATTATTGGGGTCAGTATATGTTTTTGATTATGCATTGTACAACATCTTGTTGATTAGCATTTAGGCGGTACTCATATGACGATAGATATTAAAAAATAAAAAATTTGGATTCCCACTCTGCTGACCGATTATACAAGTTTGTATAGCCTAATTATTAAAACATGTTTAATTAGACTGGCTAATTAAACATAGTTAATTAGCATAAATTCAAAATAATTTTAAATATATATAACATGTAACTTTATGGCTAATTGGACTTGCGGTTAAAATTAATTGAACTAAGGCAAAGGCCAATAAAAAATACTAAAATGAAGGCTAATAACAACACTGATATATTTAAGAGTTTTTGAAGGTTTAGAGCATTTTTACTTAGAATAACACACACCAATTAATTAGTATATATCATAGGTGCGTTTTAGTAAACGTGAAAATTAAAATTTATTGTCAGAAATACTGTAACGTAAGGATGTGGTGCAAACTATTCGGGACGACCTAAATTGTGTGACAATTAGTATCACATTGTATTGACAATAAGTATAAACCTATGGGATACTAATTGTCACATGGTTTGGGTTGTCCCAAACAGTTTGGGCTCTCCCAAACAGTTTGGGCTGTCCCAAACAGTTTGGGCTACATCCCTAACTATAACGTGTGTTTAAGTTTTTTATTTAAATAATTTAGTATATACTGTACATTATATATGTTTTTTTAGATACTTACGTAGATAGAAACCAAATTTTTGAGAGTATTTTCAGAACTGACAAGATTCCATAAATAAACTTGTTTGAGAATTAGTTGACTTGCTATTTTTATACTACGAAATCATTTTTTTATTATAAACTACCGACAATTTATTGTGAATTTATTGTCAAGTTATTGCAAGTTATTGTTATTGTCAATTTATTGCAAATTTATAGATTTCTTCGTTCTAAAGACACGCAATTATATTAAAAAAATGCATCTTTGCTGTATCGTTATGGTTTGTTAAATTGTGACTACATTTCGTTGAAAATTGATATACAGAAGTTTGAATTCGAATCGCAATTAGAACGATTTTTTTTATATATGATATAATATAATTTAAATAACTGTGACGATATTTTCTCAATTTGGGTAATACAGCATGTAAGGACTTACGTCACACAAATATAATATCTGTCACTGGTTTATTTGGTGCATTTTTTTTAATATATATAATGCGCTATTATGCTGTTTGTTTTTATAATTATATAATAAGCATGCAAAATTAATTAATACTTGTAAACAACTTGATACCGTTGGTTCCAGAGTACCTTAATAAAGATTGTCTATTTTTATTTACTAATTTTGGGATTCTAAAGCTCCGAACAATACTTCAAGGTCACTTTATTGGAGTCAGCATTGCAGTTCACTTTAGCCATATTAGATGTTTACAGATGGAAACAAAAACACATTGAATTAAAATTTTTTAAGTTTGGTATTAAAATCCTGTGATCCGACATAATTTGGAAGAGTGAGATCTGTTTTTTCATGGGTTCGCCTTTTTTTTTTATTTAATAAATTAATAAATAAAACCACGAATTAAAATAAAGAATAAAATTGGCATTTAATTGGACGATCATCATAGGTGCTGTAAACATTGATATACGTAAATATTTCCCTTTAGAGAACAATTATTTGCTAAATAATTTATAATGATAGGTTTTTTTTAGTACTACAACAATCATTTTACGTTTGATCCACAATAAATTAATTTTGATTAAGCAAATCACTAAAATTTTAATAAGATCTTTCTTAATTTTACTTTCGTATTTCTTTTAGGAACGAATAAGCAGTAAATAAAAATAAAAGAAAGTTTTGAACACAAGTAAATCCACTAACGCTAATATTTGGAGATCCGATTTCTCACCAGAATTAGTAATGATTAGTGTCGGTCATGTGACTAACAGTTCTCCTAACGATATTGCATTAAAAGGTCATGAAATTCTGAAAACAGTTATAATTAAAAGCTCCTAAGTGCAAATAATGTAATAGTGCTGTTGCCGCGTACTATATATACATTGTTATATATAAGTTGTTCGACACATTTGTAGGTATAGTCCATACGTGAGAAGTTTTCATTCGCTCCAAGGAAGAATAGTAAGTGGCATACAAGCACAATAATACGTATCACCATGAACGATTAAGGTAACATCATAGTATCGATCCAAATTGGTTTTAGGGAAGTTACACAATTGCGAATCGAACCTACGTTATATTGATAACCATATAAATGCTGTATTATAAAAATTCAATAATAAAATATATTAATCAATCCAAATTAGTCAAAGGCGATGCTTTTCACTCGCAGTATTCGACACTTATTCATGCAAATGGTCGAATAAACTTAATCAAAACATTACAGCACAATAATTTATTTGATCAGTTACTCAAAAGGTCTGGTCTCTAAACAGGAAAAATCAAGTAAATCAGGTAGCAAAAGGAAAAAAATTTCCCTTTAGCGATAATTTTTTTTTCCAGTACGTATAAGTCACGTTAATCTTTTTTGACAGCCGTAGGGTTAAAATTTTATATTTTATAATCCACTTATCGGCTTATTCCTTCCTTTCCTTTTATTTATTTTATTTATATTATTTTTCTACGATTTCGCATCGGTCCTCCCCCACTAGTTAACAATCTCAACTTGTAAAATAGCAATTTTTTTTTTCTATTTCTTTTCTTTATTTTATTTTTATAGAAACCCTTTTTTAAAACAAAAGAAGGTGCAGTATATCGTATTACTCTATATATATATATATATATATAGATATATTTCAGTACAAACAACTACTGGTTCTATACCTACAAAAGACAAGTGGGCTGGCACCCTAATACTTCGTAGTAAAAGTTCGATGAACTGTTAAATTCTTAAAAGAAAAAAACGTTAGCTGCCAGTAAACAAAAATCAAAAATTTAGAAACACTTATACTTGTATATCCAAACTAGTATTATAAACACTTCATTAACGTAAAAAAAAGAATAATTTAATTAATATCTTCGATGACCGCTAACAACGGTAAAGGATCTGAACGCACTTCGGTACAAGTTGGTAGGTATTCATTGCATAGTAATGATTAAATCAATGGTGAATAGAATAACACTCAAAAAAAAAAAAAAAAGATGAACTTATTGTGCGTGCTCTGATCAGAAATGAGTCACTAAGAAAGTTCCACTAGTTAGCCTTTTAGCAAATTTAGTGTGGGCTCGAAAGAAAATTGGGTTTGGTTTTTTTTAAAGATACTGATATTTGAAGGCGACGAAGATATTATTTATCTTGACCTAAAAAAAAATCACTAAACCAAACAAGATATATTGCATCAAGTACCCTTTGTGTGAAAATCCTCAATTTTCACCGTTAAAAGTTAGTGCTTGATGTGGTGAATATTTCACAAAGTTCCATCTTTGATTAAATATAGGGAACCATTATATATATATATATTTGTTTAGTATTATTAAGAAATATATTAAAATTTAAACGAAATGTTATAATAATACTTTACCTTCTTATTCTTCTTATTTTTCTTATGTTTCTTAGCTTTACGAATAAAGCCATTCATAAATGATGATGCAAATTGTCTATCAACACGATTTCAACGCCAAGTTATTACAACAAACTCAGCAACTCCGAATTCGATAATCGTTCAAGGCGAAAAGAAACAAATATTTAGCTATGATTACGTATTTGGCCCAGAATCAACACAAGAAGAAGTTTATACGAATGCTATTGTAAAATTAGTCGAAAATTTTTTAGATGGTAAGAAAACAATTTCATAAAACATTGATTAAAACAATGTTAAATTTCCGATTGGTGTTAATTCACGTGATTACCAACTAATAATTTGTATAATTCAAGGATATAATGTAACAATCTTGGCGTATGGTCAAACTTCATCAGGAAAAACACATACGATGGGTACAGCTGATAATTCTTCAATATCCTCGGATTCAAAAGGAATAATCCCCCGAGCAATGGAAACTTTATTTGCAAATATGAATTCATTACAATGCAAAAATCAAAAATTTTCTATAAAAGTTTCTTTTATAGAAATATATAATGAAGATTTAATTGATCTTCTTGGTGAAGGCGACATGGAAAGTCGATCACAGGTTACCATCAGAGAAGATTCAAAAGGAAATATTATATGGAATGGGTTACAAGAAATAAAAGTAAATGGTGTCGATGATGTTATGAAGTAAGTGATTAAATTGATTTTACTTTTTTTTTTTATTTCAAATTTCTAATCTATTAATAAATTTATTTATATTAGTCATTTGGCACGTGGTTCTATGAATAGACAAGTTGGTGCGACAGAAATGAATTCTAAATCTTCTCGATCTCATGCAATATTCTCTGTTATCATGGCACAACAAAAATATGTAGGTTCTCCAGCGCCAGCTACTCCAGCTCCAGCTCGACCTGCAACACCTTCTAGATTAGATTCCTCAAGAATCGCTCGATCATCATCGAATTTAAATTTAAGAATAAGTCGAAGATTCGATGAAGGTGATTGGGTTACCGTAACGAGTAAATTTCATTTTGTTGATCTGGCCGGTAGTGAGAGAGTAAGTATACTATTATTATTATTATCATTATTATTATTATAATTATAATTATTATTATTATTATTATTATTGTTGTTGTTATTGTTGTTAGTGTACTACGTTTATTATGCTATGATGTCTTAACCCTTTAACTCCTTTTAATTCCTTTAACTTCTTTTAGCTAAAAAGAACATCTGCTGTCGGTGAACGTGCAAAAGAAGGTATATCCATCAATGGGGGTTTATTAGCTTTAGGGAACGTAATATCAGCTCTTGGTGATCCAAACAAAGCAAAACACGTAACTCACGTTCCATATAGAGATTCAAAACTTACTCGTTTATTACAAGATTCTCTTGGTGGTAACGCAAAAACATTAATGATTGCATGCGTATCTTCATCTGAATCAAATGTAAATGAGACAATAAATACTTTAAAATATGCAAATAGAGCTCGTAATATTAAAAATTCTATATCAATAAATCAAGAAGAAAGTGGTTGGAATGATTTAGAACATTTACAATCTTTAGTTTTAAAATTAAGAAGTGAAATAAAAGCTTTAAAAGCTTCAAATTCATCATCTTCTACAAATAGTTCTAATAGTTGTAGAAGTAGTACTTATAGTTCTGGAAGGAGTACTCCTATTCAATCTAATACTCCTAATACTCCTGAGATTTCTCCTGATCGTCATCCAGTTCCTGTTACTGTAGTTACAGATACTGATGGTAATAATACTACTGAACTTGGAATGTTAGAAGATCAACTTATTCATTTACAACGTTCTTATTCTGAATTATCTCAAAAGTATGCAAAAACTTCTGCTGAACTCGCTATGCATCAAGACAATTCTGATGAAAATTTGGATTTTAATACTTTGAAAGAAAAAGAAAATAGTTTAATTAAACGTGCTTCTGATAGTTTTCAAGAAGTTGTTGAACCTGTAATTGAAGAATATGAAAAATTAATTTCTTCTTTAGAAAGTCAATTGGCTTTGGCACGTGCCGCTTTAAATCATACTGAAACGATGGTACAAGATCAAGATAATAAATTAGAACATCTTGAACAAATTAATAATCAATATAAAAATTTAATCAATGATTTAAGGAATAATATCGCTCAACTTTCTGAACATGAAGCAACAAATGAACATTATATTAAAGATCTTGAATCAAAACTTGAAACTCAAGTTAATGAACATAATAATGATCAAATTTTAATAAATGAATTAAAAAGTAAGATTTCTCAATTAAAATCAACTGGTATAAATAGTGAAGGTTATATACATGACCTTGAAGCACGTTTAGAAGTTAGTGAACAACAATTAATTGAAATTAATAAAACTGTTGAAAGGCTCGAAAATAGATTGAAAGATAAAGAAGGTGCTTACACTGAATTAAAAGAAAAATTTGATCATGCTGAAGTTGATCAAGAAAAAACTTTATTATTAAATGAATTAAATGATCGTGATCGTAGAATTGCTTTACTTGAACAAAAAACTAATGAACTTTCATCTGAACTTGTCAAGTTAAGAAATCTTAAATTACAAGAATTAGATTCAAATAATCATCAAGTTCATCAAGACATAATAATACCAGGTTCTTCTTCTGCATCAGATGAAGAGAAATTATTAATGTCTTCTATCACTCCCGGTGCTTTATCATTAAAAGATGAACAAGATCGTTTAATTATTGCTAGTCTTGAAACAAAATTATCCGAATTACAACAAATTCATGAAAAAACGATTATAGAATTTACTCAAATCAAAGAAAAGTATGAAGCATGTTTAGATGAAATACAAGAATTACAAACTCAACTTTCAGAAGCAAGATTAATTGATGCTGAAATGATGGATGATTTTAAATCAATTTCTTCAACTCCTACAACTCCAATGTCTCCATCTAGTGTTATGGGACTTATGGAATCTCCAATTACAGTACGACAATCTTTACCACCATCCATGCGTTTTGATGAATTAGAAAAAGAACATTTTATTAATTCATTTTCCACAACTGAAAAAAATGTTCCTCGAAAACATCGTTCTTACTCAATGGGTGGTCATGTTCCAATTCGATATACTTTAAATAATAATGATCCAACACAAAAATCAATTGAAATGCTTGAAGAAAATTTAGTTGCTTTACAAGGTGAATTAACTAGTAAACCCGATAACATTCAAAATTTACAAAATGAAAAGAGTTTAGTTGTAACATTAAGGTCACAATTTGAAACATTAAAATTAGATATTAAACGTAAATATGAACTTATAGAAATATTAAAACGAGATTTTATTGATAAAGGGATTTTACAACAAAAACTTCAAGAAAAAGAATCTGAAGCAATAGCATTAAAATTACAACTTTCTGAAGTTAAAAGTCGACAAGAAGAAACTCAAAATCAAATGAAAAATCTTCAATTACAATTGAAACAAGCTGAAAATATTGGAGCTGATCAATTATTATATTCGGAAATTGAGAATATTAGAAAAGAACTTCAAATTGTAAAGGAAAATGAGACTTCTGCATTAGAAAAGATTAGAATTTTGAATGATAAAGAAACAAAATTTAATGAAGAATTACATCGTTTACGTAAAATTGAAATAGCTCAAAGAGAAAGAATAAATTTATTAGAAGATCAATTATCATCACAAAATGTATTTATTGATGATGATATAATAAGGTTAAGAAATGAATTAGTTGTAGCAAAAGAATCTGAAAAATCATATAAACAAACAATTTTAGATCTTGAATCTAAATTAGAGAAATCTGAACTTGAATTTTCTTCTTTACGATCTAAAATTGATATTTTAAAATCTCGAAAATTCGGACAAAACGATCAAATCCTATCTCATGAATCTCAATTAAGTAAGATGATATCATCACTTGGTCCTAATATTGATTCACAACAAATAAAGATATTGAATAAAGAAATCGAGAATTTAAGATCCCAGGATATTATACAACGTAAAAAAATTGAAGTTTTTGAAAATCGGTTAAAAATTATTAAACAAGATTCCAAAACCGATGATCTAAAAAAAGAAATCTTCGAATTAAAGGACATTGAATTTAATCTTAAAAATACGATCAAAGAATTAGAAATTAAACTTGAAACCTCAGAAAAAGAATGTGATGATTTACGAGTCTTAAGGAATGAGATTAAATTTTTGAAAGAATTTGAATCCGAACAAAAATCTACCATCGAACAATTACAATTTCAATTAGATGATACGATAAAATCTAAAAATACTCTACTTTTAGAGTTTGAAACTTTGAAAAAGGATCATGATGCAAAGAATGAACGAGTTATTTTCCTGGAAAAAGAATTAAAGACAATAAAAGAAGAATTATTACAAACAAATGATAAAAATGTTGCCTGCTCAAAAGAAATTACTGAATTGAAAAATTTGTTAACTGATATGTTACAAAAACGTGATAAAGAACAAAAAAGGATAAAAGAATTAGAGTCTGAACTACAAGGAACAAAAGATGCTGATACAACTGGTAATAACCATATAAGATCTCTTAAAGAAGAACTTGCTAGTGCTAAAATCGAAATGGATGTTCAAAATGATCTTATAGCAGATCTTAAAACCAAGCTATTAGAGGTCGAGAAAGAACGTGATAAACATGTAGAATATGTTAAAGAACAAACAAAATTATTCGAATCAAAAGAAATTGATCATAAAAATGATATTTCTGAATTACAACGTTCCATAACTAATTTACAAACTGAATTGGTTGAATTTAAAAATTCTTCTCAAAAAGATCAAAAAACCATTGCTAATCTCGAAAATGAACTTGCAACTGTTGGTTCTTTACTTAGCGAAACAAAAGCAACAGAAGAAGATCGTACACAAATTGCTGTTCAACTTGAAATAAAATTAAAACAAGCTGACAATGACCTAAAAGCTAAAGAACAAATGCTTTCGATCAAAGATGAACATATAACACAATTAGAATTACAAATCCAAAAAAATAAAGTCGATCTTGAAACTGCAGAGTTGGAAGTAAAAAAACGTATCGAAACTACTCAAGCAACTTTGATCAAAGAATTAGAAGTAGCTTTGAAAGGAAAACAAGATACTTTAGATAAATTACGGGAAACTATACAAGAGATTAATTATGAACTGGATCAAGTTAAAAGTTCTGATATCCAAAAACAAGAACTTATTAATGTTTTAGAATCAAAATTACAAACCGCAGAGTCAAATCATAATGCAGAGATTTCCAAACTTCATGAGGCTAATAAAGAAATAGAAATCCTTAAAGAACAATGTAAAAAATTACAGAATGCGGCCGATGAAGCAAAAATGGAAGTTACGAATAATTCCAAGAATGGTATAGGTAATTCAACGATAGAAGGTCTTACCAATCAACTCAAGCAAGCCCATAGCGAAATCGAGTTATATTGTAATCGAGTTCAAGAATTAGAAAAGATTACACAAAAACTTGAATCAGATAAGCAAATGCAACTCTCAAACAACAAGAATATCACGCAGCAAATTGGAAATCTTCAAAAAGACTTTGATAATTTATCAGCTGAATATGCTAAAACTGTTATAGAACTTGAAAAAACTGATATTCTTACAAGTGAACAGAAAAGTCATACCATTGAATTGGAACGAGCTCTTGAGGATGTTGAAAAAAGTATCGTTGAAACTTCCACACAAAAATCTCCAGATAATAGCTCTAATACACCTGAACCTTCTTTAAATCATACCGTCGAAAAATTAATGACCGAAAATGAAAATTTACGAATAATTAATGATAGACTTAGTGCAAAAATTAGCACAACTGAAGAGGAAGTAAATTCTCTGAATGAAAGTCTAAAAACCTTAAGGAATGAACTTGAACATTTAAACAGTATCTCAAGTCAAATATCGAAGGAATCGTTAGAAGGAAAGGTAGCTGAGCTTGAGGCAGAAAAAGAAAGCTTGGAACAAGCAAATAAAGTTTTCTTTGAAGAACGTAAGAAACTTGATCAAAGAATTGATTCTTTATTGAAACAATTACAAGCCTCAGATCATGGAGGAAATAAAGCAGCTGCTCAACTGGTAGAATTAAACACTAAATTAATGTCACTTGAAACGGAACATGCAGATCTAAAACAAAGAATGGTTTCTGAAGGTTTAGAGATGGAGAAAGAGATTAGAAAGTTATTAGAAATTAACGATCAACTTGAAAAAGAAGTTGCACAAGCATCATCTAACAATTGTGCAATATTGGGAATAGACCTTGAATCGGAAAGTGTTTTACCTCAATCACATCTCTGTGATCTCAATATAGATGGCTCAATTAAAAATCAATTAAAACGTCAAGAAAGTACAATATCCCAACAAAATAATCTTATTAAAGTTTTCCAAGAGAAGATAACAGATCTTGAACGTAGATTACAAGATGAAACTTCATGTCGTCGACCTTCTATTTGTGTTTCAGAATACGAGAATGTTGATCGATTTCGATTGTCAGCATCTTCAACGTCTTCGGATATGGTTAAGAGAATCAGACCGAATTTAATTATTTCAAATGTTGGAAGATCACCACCACCAACGCCACCACCAAACTCACCATTACCACCACCACCACCGATATCACCTCAATTATCTAGTCCTTCTACACCTCCTATTGGATCTCCTTCACGGCTACGAACTAGTATATCAGAAGGAAGTTCACCGACTGATCTTACCGTAGAGGTTCAAAAACTACATAAAAGGATTGCCAAGATTGAAGGAGAAAATGTACGACACCGTCAACAAGTTGAAACATTAGAAAGTGTAGTTTCAGAAAAGGACATTAATCTCAGAGTGGCCAAACAACAATTGCAAATATTACAAAAAGAAAAATCAGATCTTCTTGCACAAATCAAAAATCTAAATTCACAATTAGATGAAACAACAGTTCAGTTTGAAAATACAAGAACATCAGTTTATCAAGAAAAAAGGGTTATCGAAGCAGTGTTGGAAGAAGAACGAAAGGCCAAAGAAGATGCTGAGAAAGCAAGACGATTACTCGAAAACCGAATGGAAGAGCTGATGGCCAGAAAAAGCAAGTTTATGTGCTTTTAAGACAGTTCTGTTTTCACGGTCAACTCTTGTTATAACGACTTCGATATAACAGAATATTATGAATCCAAATCGTTAAATGTGGGTAATTTATATGTTATAAGGAGAGTTGACTGTATACGTTTTAAGATTTTCGAAACAATTACTTATTCTTTTCATTAATTTGATTAGGATCTTTCCTCCATCCGTTTATGAAACCTTTTATTTACCGATCTAGGTCACTTCACAGAACAAGTACCACAGACAGTTCGGCCCATAATTGTATATAATGAATGCATCCAGAATCTTTTCCAGTTTGTAAAAATATGAAACTCTAATTCTTTGCTTTTGTCTTTACACGAATTTTTATTATGTTTAATAATTCTTTACAAAATTCTTGTATTGCGAGTTTTTTTCTTATATAAGATCAGAAATATCGTTTATTTCTATTTAAGTTTTTTTATGGACAATTTTATGAACTAATATTCCTTGCGGAAAAAAAAAACAATTGATTTTATTTGACATTTGGTTTAAAATTTGATTCAATTTTTTTTTTTTTTTGCAATAGAAATATTTAGAAAAACAATTATATGATAAAAACATTTAAAAATATACATGGACGTTAATATTGGTGGAAGATGAAATTTTTATTTTGGATGAAAATTTTTATACCTTTTCCATATATATTTCTAACTTTATTCCCACATTTACAATATTTGCATTTTTCAATCTCATTATATCCGATAGAAAAAATTCTTCTGTATTTTTATATATATTTGTACAAAATGATGTGAATTATATTATTATTTTCGAATTATTTATTTGTATAACAAGATTGAGTTTTGTTATAAAAGATTTATAAAAAAAACTTTTTATAATAATGCATTTATATATATCAATTGTATATTTTTTTTTTAAAAAAAAACAAAGCCGGTAAGTCTGTATCTTGTTACGCATATGTGCAATTATCTTGATGTTATTAAATAATTGTTTACTATAGCGATAGAATAAATTTAATTAACACTGGTGGATATATATATTCTTTCTAAACTATTTAAAAACCTTTTAAGTAACCAAGTTCGGGTGTACTAAATATATAAAATTGTTCGGAACCATCAGAACCATCAAAACTTTACGCTAACTAAAATTTAAACCTCTATAACTAATTCCTCTCCGTAATTGCACTTCCCTTGGGACTATAGGCAAAATGTGCATTTATGAAGGACATTTTATTAAGTGTTCTCTATGCTTGCATTCAGAGAAGGTATACATAATGCATGTATTCAGGGTTGATTGTATTTTAACTCTAAATCTTGTTATTAAAAATATTGTAAAAATAGAAATATAATGTATTTTTTACTATATAAATAAATGACGTAAATTCTATTTATAAAACTGCCTTTGGGTTTTAACAAAAAAATCCAATTATCGATATTCTTTTTTTATAATTACAGTGAAACCACTATAAGTGCACACCTCTCTAAATGCACGCTTAAATTTGGGCCCAAATTTATACATGACCTCCATAAATGCACCTTTTCTTATTGTTCTCTAAATGCACGTTGTTAAAGTTCGGTCCCAGGAGGTTTTACTGTACCAAGTTAGTTAATTGAAGTCTTTTTTAAAAAATTGCCAATCTCTTAACCGTAAGGAAACTTGTCCGGGCGCAGTACCACGTCAAATGATTGTCGAACTTAAATTTTATATTAAAATTTGAGTCAAAAATGTTTCCCGACCCTTATTTGGTCAAAAGGAGTTGTTGGATTAATTTTGGGGTAAAGGTTTGCTTATTCCCTAGCATTTGAAGGTTCTTCTCACAAGATTTTAGGATGGTTAAAAAAAAAAACAACTAATCTTCATTTACGGCGGATACTATTTGTTTATATAAATGCACCTCATTTAACCAAAAACGGGGTCCGTTAAAGCCATATCCTAAAATTTCTATATTTTTTACTAACTTTTATTATAATAACGTGCGATTTTATTGATTAGTTTTAGGTATGTTTAGATTTATTAAAAAAAGTAGGCATATAACGATAAGTATTAAAAATGTATGTTTTGCATTACTAATAATAGCTAAAAATTAATACAAAGTCTGATGTGATCAAAGAATGATTGGTTAAATTCTATGTGATAAAAGGTTGTATATTGCCAAAATTGATATTGGCAAAATCTAAGTACGCATGACGATCCACATGAAACATATACGCCAGGATCGAGTTCATGAACTTATACAGGAGGATCCCCAAAATTCCGGGTCGAAACCATCAGATTTAGCCCGGCATTTAGTTAGCATTTAGTAATACAAGTTAACCGTTTCTGGGCCAAAATTATCAGCTGGGCAGCTTTACTTAATGAGTGAGCTATGGTTTCATTAGTAAAACTTTTAGTGATCTTGGGCAAAATTAGTTAATTCCGGCCCTGCCGAGCATGATTCCGAAGTATTCCGACCCGGAATTTTTGGGATCCCCTGTATGAGTTTGCGATCGAGGAAGGATCGTGCGCCAAGCCCCAGCGTGGAGACCAGGCAGTGGTAAAAGGATTGCGGTTGTGGTGACAATGTTAGCATTTTACCACGGGAAAAGTGGCACTGAAAAATTTCTCTTCTGTGCTATTTCGACCGTGAGAAATGATAAAATAACGAAAGGCTGTGTATGTAGGGGTAAAAGTTAGTACAAAAAAGGTGAAACAAGGTGGGAATTCAATGAATGTAATAAAGAAAGGTTACGGTCTTGTACGTACCTTTCGTACGGTAGAATTGTTATGTCCTAAATAATAAAAAACTTGTTAAATAAAGACCCCTCAAAAATACAAAATAATAAACGCTCTTTAAAAGTATCTGTCCTTATCTAGTAACGCTCTCAAAAGCCGCCTTAACCCGTGCCAAATAGTAACCGCCTCGCTCTCGCTTTTGAGCAACGTTACGCGACGTCAACGATTCTGTAGCGACAATTCGTCGCATTTCTTCTACCTGCGTTCCCGACCATCCAGACCGTAACAGCAGAAAACTCTTAAATAGGCAATTTGCTTTTCTAATCTAATTTATTTATTTTAAATTTGGAGTTAAAGCTTTAAAGTAAATAAATAAAAACCTGCGCATTATGATAATGGCACGATCGCTACGAACGATTAAAGGACCTGATAGTTACATGAAATTTTGTTATGAATCTAATAAATTGTTATACGATTACAATTAAACTGATTAAACGATTAATATTATTAGTCGAATTTGTAGCTAAACTACGTGGTTAAACAGTTAATAAAATTTTCACGGTTCATACTGCATAAAAAATATGTAACTATTTACTTGATCAAATTTATTAAAAATATGCAATTAGTAGTTGCAACTAAGCTGACAATTAATCGATTTTGAACAGCTCCAAACACTAGTTGAAAATAGCCTTTGTCCGGGATTTGCTTGATATAAGGATACATATCTTTCACCGTTCCTGGTTTGGCATGACAACGTCGCGCAAATACTTATGATTAATGTCATGCCCATGCTAAAGTTTACCCAGCCATACTAAATAAGAGCCAATAATAATAAGAGAAACAGCCAAAGTAAAATAAAATTTTGCGTGTGAACTACTGTTTAATTCAATTATTATTTATTACATGCGAGTGCTGCCAAGGAAAACCTGTAAAAAATTTTCACAATACCAGACATCTGAAGCATTGCGATATTATGTAATTTAATTATTATACGATTAATGTTCTGCACACTTGCAAGTCATTCAAAAATATTATAGAAACTATTAGAATACTGATTGTAATCTGTTTAAATTTCGTAATATATATTAAAGCAAGTTTAGGCCTGGTGTAGTGAAAATTTAAACATATGCTCACAGGTTTTCTCTTGATAGCATTCACATAATGAAATGAATGTTTACACCTACAATTATTTGGCAATGAAAACTTATCTAGCTTTTTTATGAATTTGGAATATTTCATATTCTTCTACTAAAAAGAATGAACGCCTAGAATTATATGTAGATTTCTTTCTAAGCAGTTTTTCATAACGCTTGCCATTGCAGCAATAGCATCTATTATTCTGTTCGTGATTATACATATAAAGACTCTCTAGAAAGGCTGGTCCACAGTTAGAACCGCAATAAATTGCACTCTTTCCGTTTTTCACACGACCCAAAATAGAATTTTGGACAGTACCACTCTTGAATGAAAAAGTAAAGCATTCATCACAAATTTTACGACCATGGAATGATTTGTCCCATCCAATTGGATTATATCCACCAAGAATTTCATCAGTGTCTTCAACTTTCACGACAACAACCAAATTTTTCTGCTTATCGCATAAATTCCAAAATGACTCACGAGTAAATCCATCTCTACTTCCACGAAAAAGTAATTTAAATTCATATGGATTATTTAGTATAGAATAAGTATCATCCTTTTTATCAATCCATGAAGCAATTTCAGCTGCATGTGTTACATTAATAATATTCGAAAACGGTTCTGTTGATCTGCGTGGTAACTCTGTTGTTAAAATCACACGAGGTGGAAGAATTACAGATGATATTGGTTTATCTGGTGGCATATAATTTTTAACTAAATCTTTCCAAAGATTTTTTTCAAGGATTTTCTTATATGGTTGAACATACAAGTAAATATCTTCACCAGATATTTGAAAATAACGAATAAGAGGCAAACAATTATTTAGAGTAGTTTTTAATGCCGAAACATTTTCATTTGACCAGTCTTCAGGATTGGAAGGTAAACCAGGATTCTGTGCGATACCCCATTTGATAATATAATTCCAAATTTTAACTTCATCCATTTGTAAATCGTCACGTTCAATCAACGAAATTAAAGCATTTTCTTGAATAGATGTAAAATCTTCGGATTCAAAAACTTTGTTCGGATACTTTACTAAAATATCGTTACACCATTTTTGTAACTTTAAAAGTTTATTGTTTTGGAAACTTTCTTGATAGATGCGAGAAAATTGTAGGCGAAGCCAATGAGCATTTGATTCAATTAAAAGATTTTCAAGATATTTAGCCAAC